ATTATCACCAAGCCAGCAATGCAAGAAATGCTAAAGGGACTGGTGTAAAAAGAAGAAATAAAAAGCTCAGAAAGAAAACAGCCACAAACAAAAAGAAATGGCTACGAACAAGTACCTTTCAATAATAACTTTAAATGTAAATGGACTAAATGGTCCAATCAAAAGACATCGAGTGGCTGAATGGATAAAAAAACATGACACATACATCTGCTGTCTACAAGAGACCCACCTCATTAGAAGGGACTCACACAGACTGAAAGTGAAAGGATGGAAAAATATATTTCAGGCAAATGGAAATGAAAAAAAAAAACTGGGGGAGCAATACTTATATCGGACAAAATAGACCTCAAAGTGAAGGCCATAACAAGAGGAACAAGAGATAAGGAAGGCCACTTCATAATACTAAAGGAATCAATACAACAAGAAGATATATTCCTGGTAAACATAAATGCATCCAATGCAGGAGCACCCAAATACATAAAAAAACTCCTGGAAGATATCAAAGGAGAGATGGACAACAATATAATCATAGTAGAGGACTTTAATACACCACTGACATCACTGGACAAATCCGCTAGACAAAAACTCAGCAAAGAAACAGCAATCCTAAATGACTCACTAGAGCAGATGGACTTAATAGACATCTTCAGAACACTTCACCCCAAAGCCGCAGAATATACATTCTACTCAAGTGCTCATGGGACAGATTCAAAAATAGACCACATACTGGGTCACAAGCAAAGTCTCCCCACATTCAAGAAGATTGAAATCATAAAAAGCATCTTCTCAGACCACGATGGCATAATATTAGAAATAAACTACAATAAAAACAACACAAAATACTCAAAAACTTGGAAGCTGAATAGCATGTTATTAAATATTGATTGGGTTACCAATGAGATCAAAGAAGAAATTAAAAACATCCTGGAAACTAATGACAATGAAAACACAACAATCAAAATCCTATGGGACGCAATGAAAGCAGTCTTGAGAGGGAAGTTTATAGCTCTACAGGCCTATCTCAACAAACAAGAAAAAATGGTAGTAAATCATCTAACTCTACAACTCAAAGAATTAGAAAGAGAGCAACAAGAAAACCCCAGAGTGAGCAGAAGGATGGAGATAATAAAGATTAGAGCAGAAATAAATGACAAAAAGACCAAAAAAAAAAAAAAAAAAAACCAACAATACAGAAAATCAATGAAACCAAGAGCTGGTTCTTTGAAAGGATAAACAAGATTGACAAACCTCTACCCAGACTCACCAAGAAGCAAAGAGAGAGGACCCAAATAAACAAAATCAGAAATGATAGAGGTGAAATAACAACAGACCCCACAGAAATACAAATGATTGTTAAAAAATAATATGGACAACTCTACTCCAACAAACTAGACAACCTGGAGGAAATGGACAAATTCCTAGAAAAATACAACATTCCAAAACTCAATCAGGAAGATTCCAAAAATCTCAATAGGCCAATAACTATGGAAGACATTGAAGCAGTCATCAAAAAGCTTCCAGCAAACAAAAGCCCAGGACCAGACGGCTTCACAGGGGAGTTTTACCAAACATTCAAGGAAGAATTAAACCCCATCCTTCTCAGATGACTACAAAATATTCAAGAGGAAGGAACACTTCCAAGCTCATTCTATGAAGCCAGCATCACCCTAATACCAAAACCAGGTAAAGACAACACAATGAAAGAGAATTACAGGCCAATATCCCTCATGAACATAGATGCCAAAATCCTCAACAAAATCTTAGCAAATCTGATCCAGCAGTACATCACAAAGATCATACACCAGGACCAAGTAGGATTTATCCCAGGGATGCAAGGATGGTACAATATCTGCAAATCAATAAACGTGATACATCACATAAACAAACTCAAAGAAAAAAACCACATAGTCATATCAATTGATGCAGAAAAAGCGTTTGACAAAATTCAACACCCATTTTTGATAAAAACTCTCAGCAAGGTGGGAATTGAAGGATCATACCTCAACATAATAAAAGCCATATATGACAGGCCCACAGCCAACATCATACTCAATGTTCAAAAATAACCACCATTTCCCCTAAGAAAGGAACAAGACAGGGATGCCCACTCTCACCACTCCTGTTCTACATAGTACTGGAAGTATTAGCCATTGCAGTTAGACAAGAAGAAGAAATAAAAGGCATCCAAATTGGAAAAGAGGAAGTAAAACTGTCCTTATTTGCAGACAACATGATATTATACATACAAAACCCTAGAGACTCCATCAAAAAGCTACTAGACTTAATACATGAATTTGGCAATGTAGCAGGATACAAAATTAACCCCCAGAAATCTGAGGCATTTCTATACACCAATAGTGAACTTTCAGAAAGAGAGATTATAAAAATAATCCCATTTACCATCTCACCAAAATAATTAAGCTACCTAGGAATAAACTTAACTAAAGAGGTAAAAGAGCTCTACTCAGAAAACTTCAGGACGTTGAAAAAAGAGATAGAAGAAGACATAAACAGATGGAAGAACATACCATATTCATGGATTGGTAGAATCAACATCATTAAAATGTCTATACTTCCCAAAGCAAGCTATAAATTCAACGCACTTCCAATTAAAATACCAACAGCATACTTTACAGATCTAGAACGAACTCTCCAAAAATTCATCTGGAATAAAAAAAGACCCTGAATAGCTGCAGCAATCCTGAGAAAGAACAAAGTAGGTGGAATCTCAATACTATATATCAAGCTGTATTACAAAGCCACTGTTCTCAAAACTGCCTGGTACTGGCTCAAGAACATGCATATAGATCAATGGAATAGAATAGAGAGCCCAGAAACTGGCCCGAACCAATAAGCTCAATTAATATTTGACAAAGGAGGCAAGAACATACAATGGAGTCAAGATAGTCTCTTCAATAAATGGTGTTGGAAAAATTGGACAGATATATGCAAGAAAATGAAACTAGACCACCAACTTACACCATACACAAAAATAAACTCAAAATGGATAAAGGACTTAAATGTACAATGAGAAACCATAAAAATTCTAGAAGAATCCAAAGGCAACAAAATCTCAGACATATGCCGAAGCAATTTCTTCACCGATACAGCTCCTAGGGCATTGGAAACTAAAGAGAAAATAAACAAATGGGACTACATCAAAATAAAAAGCTTCTGCACAGCAAAAGAAACCATCAACAAAACAACAAGAAAACCCACTGCGTGGGAAAACATCTTTGCTATTGACATATCTGATAAGGGCCTAATCTCCAAAATTTATAGGGAACTCATACAACTTAACAGAAGGAAGATAAACAATCCAATCAAAAAATGGGCAAAGGACCTAAATAGACACCTTTCAAAAGCGGACATTCAGAAAGCCAAGAGACATATGAAAACATGCTCCAAGTCACTAATCATCCGAGAGATGCAAATCAAAACAACAAGGAGGTACCATCTCACACCTGTCAGACTGGCTATCATCAAGCAATCAACAAACAACAAGTGCTGGAGAGGATGTGGAGAAAAAGGAACCCTCGTGCACTGCTGGTGGGAATGCAGGCTGGTGCAGCCACTGTGAAGACAGTATGTAGTTTCCTCAAAAAACTAAAAATGGAACTCCCATTTGACCCTGTTATCCCACTTCTAGGAATATATCCCAAGAAACCAGAAACACCAATCAGAAAGGATATATGCACCCATATGTTCATAGCAGCACAATTCACCATAGCTAAGATCTGGAAACAGCCTAAGTGCCCATCAGTAGATGAATGGATTAGAAAACTGAGATATATCTACACAATTCAATACTATGCTGCTATAAAAAAAGAACTAACTCTTACCATTTGCAACAGCATGGATGGAACTGGAGAGCATTATGCTAAGTGAAATAAGCCAGTCAATGAAGGAAAAATACCACATGATCTCACTCATTCATGGATAATAAAGATATTATAAACTTATGAACAATAATAGATACAGAGGCAGAGCTGTCTCAAATAGATTGTCAAACTGCAGTGGGAAGGCCGGGGAGGGTTGGGGGGCAGGAGGGAGGGGGGTAAGAGATCAACCGAAGGACTTGTATGCATACATATAAGCATAACCAATGGACGTAAGACACTGGGGGATAGGGGAGGCCAGGGGATTGTCAAGGTCACGGAAAAAAAATGGGACACATATGTAATACCCTTTGTAATACTTTAAGCAATAGAAAAATAAATAAAAAATATAAAATCTTAGTTAAGGACTGATTAAATACTATGACAGTGGAACCAATCTTAGGTCAGGAAGGTAAAATCAATGAATGAGCGCCAGAAGTTCCTGGCCTAACCTGGAGGTAATCTCACTCAGACCTTCATGATGGGCTTTGTAAGTCCCAGTGTCAGCATGGGCCAGGCCTGTTAGCTGCCAGGAGCCGCTGGGGTTGTGGAGGAGAACAGGACGCTGAGGGTCACAAGGAGCAGGAACCACGGACACAGGGCGGCCCTGCTGACGTGTCTCTAGTCGTGGAAGCCTTCGTTTCACAGGTCACAGCTACAGAGCCTTTCCTAAAAATGCTACAGTACCATCAGCAATGAAAGGGGAACAAATTTTGCTTTCTGACAATACAGCTTCTCTTGCTATGCAGCACTTTTTGCAAATGTGTAATCTGCCTATCAAATTGGTTTTTAAGGCAAATGCAGACTATATGTCCCATCTGGTAAAGTAACTTTTATTCATGTAGGAATTCAATTAGTATCAAAACTTGGGTCAAAAGTCCAATTTGTTAAAGCCAAGGGCCATTCTGTTAGTGATGGGATTGGATGAAGTCCAAAAAAGCAGAAATTCAAGCCGACGTGGAATTAGTCAGCAATATGCTGTTGACTGCAGAGTTGTGCCGTCAATGGTATGATGAAGCTACAGTAGGGGAGATCCCACATGCTAGATTTGGATCTGCTTAGCTTGGCCTCTGAATCATATTTTGACCTATCAAAATAGTTTTTTTGTTTTTAAACAGCATCTTCTTTATTTTGCATACTTTAATTTCAGAACAAAATAAAAAAAAAAAAACACAATACATAAAAAATCCAAAATTATGTCAAATATGAGAAGAGAGGGCTTGAGGCCACTGTAACCTGCCTTAGGAAAAGACAGGAGAGGGGAAAAGCCACTAAACATCAGAGGAAACCAGGTGGGTTAGGGCCACGCAGGGCTGCTGAGGGAGCCATGAAGACTACACAAAGGACACAAGGTCTGCAGGTAGAAACTCCTAGTCTACTTCTTCCATGCGAGAGGCATCCTCATCACCCTCAAGGGGTTGGATCTCATCAGGAACAGCAGCATTGGGTTCTTCTGTTGTCACTTCATCTTCATCAATGCCTAGGCCTAGCTTGATCATGCGGTAGATGCAGTTGGAGTGGGTCTGGGGATCCTCAAGTGAAAAGGCAGAAGAGAGCAGTGCAGTTTCAAACAGCAACACCACAAGGTCCTTGACAGCTTTATCATTCTTGTCTGCCTCTGCCTTCTGGCGCAGAATCTCCACAATGGGGTGGTCAGGGTTGATCTCCAGGTGCTTTTTGGCCATCATTGAGCCCATTGTAGAGTTATCCCTAAGTGCCTGGGCTTACATGATACATTCCATGTTAGCTGTCTAGCCGTAGGTGCTGGTCACAATGCAGCAGGGTGAAGACACAAGCCTATTGGAGATTGTCGCCTTCTCAACCTTCTTATCCAAGATTTCTTTCATGCCGAAACCGGTTTGGCTCAGTGGATAGAGTGTCGGTCTGCGGACTGAAAGGTCCCGGGTTCGATTCCGGTCAAGGGCATGTGCCTGGGTTGCGGGCATATCCCCAGTGGGAGATGTGCAGGAGGCAGCTGATCGATGTTTCTCTCTCGTCGATGTTTCTAACTCTCTATCTCTCTCCCTTCCTCTCTGTAGAAAATCAATAAAATATATTTTTTTAAAAAAAAGATTTCTTTCGTAAGTTTGTAGAGGTTCTCAAATTTGGCCTTGCTCTCTTCCATTTTCTTTTTCTCCTCTTCATCCTCAGGTAGCTCCAGGCCCTCCTTGGTAACTGAGTCCAAGCTTTTTCCATCAAACTCCTTGAGCTGCTGCACACAGTAATCATAGATAGGCTCTGTCATATATACTACCTCGAAGCCCCGCTTCCACACTCGCTCCACAAAAGCAGAGTTAGCAACTTGCTCTTTGCTCTCACCAGTGATATAATAGATGGATTTCTGGGTCTCCTTCATGCGAGAGACATATTCTGAGAGAGAGGTCAGTTCATCTCCAGACTGGGAGGTGTGATAGCACAAAAGCTCAGAAAGGCATAGCGGATTAGTCGAGTCCTCGTGGATTCCAAGCTTTAGGTTTTTAGAGAACGCCTCATAGAATTTCTTATAGTTCTCCTTATCTTCTGCCAGCTCAGGGAAGAGCTCAAGGCACTTCTTAACAATATTTTTACGAATGACCTTCAAGATTTTACTCTGCTGGAGCATTTCTCGGGAAATGTTCAGGGGCATGTCCTCAGAGTCAACCACACCTCGGATAAAGTTGAGATACTCTGGTATCAGCTCATCACAGCTGTCCATTATGAACACACGGCAGACATAGAGTTTGATGTTCTTCTTGTTCTCAAAGAGGTCAAAGGGAGCCTGACAGGGGATGAACAGCAATGCCCTGAATTCCAGTTGACCTTCTACAGAGAATTGCTTGACTGCCAAGTGGTCTTCCCAGTCATTGGTAAGACTCTTACAGAACTCTCCATATTCCTCCTTGGTGATGTAAGATGAAAGCTATTGGATGGGATAACAAGACTTTGGACCATGTTTTAGAAGGTGTTGACTAGTACTGTCAAGCTTTCTCAAAGACTGAGAACACAACCATATTCCTTCAAAAAGCAGCCCTACTGAACTAGATGCACTGATATTTGGCCATCTGTACACCATTCTTCCCACACTGATGAACTTTCTGAGAAGGTGAAAAACTATAGCAACCTTCTTGCTTTTTGTAGAAGAATTGAACAGCACTGTTTTGAAGATCGTAGTAAAAGCATCTCATCTATCAGATTATCTTAGAGTTATGTGTTAGTTTAGTTATTATTTTTAAGCATGTTAACTTTGGAAATATGTGTTGTTTGAATGATATGATGATGGTATCAGAATTTTAAAACAAAACACTGCTTTCTGAAACCTCAAAACAAGTTACATAATGCACTTTATAGATGTATTTTATACTGTTTATGCACACATTGAAATAATTCTGAATGACTGAATTTGATATGTTATACTCTATATCTTGATTTTTTTTGTTTTCTTAAAACTTGTATGCATGTAAAAATAAACCTTAAACAACTGTTAAAAATAAAAATAAAATAAATGAATAAACCTGGCTACATATGAGACAGTATGGTGTGGTAAAGTATATATGACAGACTTGAAAATATGATATGTCTAAAGACAGTAAAATATTTTTTTAAATGCTGAATAAGATGAACAAAATATGTCTGCTGGAGGCCCACACTTGAAACTACTGCCTGCATTCAACTGTGTTGGTTTGTCTGCCAGTATGACAGAATGCAGCTCCCTGGGATTCAACACATAATTAACAAATAGTCCTTGGGTATTATTATGAGGTGATCCTTTCTGAGTATTTTTAACATCTGTCCTTACAAAAATCTTTCTAATTTTCTCAGTAAGACATAGTCACTCTCTTCTCTGTGCCCCTAAGATGATTTGTGTATATTTATTTTATGGCATCTATCATCTTATGCTGTAATGGTTTGTTGGAATGTCTTTCTCCTTCACTGGACCATGAGCACCTTAAGGCCAAAGGCTAGTGCTTATTCTACTGTGAAAGCTCAACACCCAGGATTTTATTTGTATTCACATATTTGTCTTTCATGAATGTTCAGCTTCTTCTTGAGTATAAATACTAAAGAAGGAGGAGATGCAGATTTTAGATTTTATTTTTACTATATTTTGAAAGCTTAAATTTAATACAAAGGAGGTTGAACATTTCTCAGGGAATATTTCGACTGTAGCTTGATGAAATTGCTCTGCTTTCCACCAGGGATTTAGATGTTTATTTTTAAAATTTTTTATTAATCCTCACCCCAGGATAGTTTTCCATTGATTTTTAGAGAGTGGAAGGGAGGGGAGAGAGACAGAGAGGGACATTGGTGTGAGAGAGACACATCAGTTAGTTGCCTCCCACACACACCTTACCTGGCCAGGGATCTAGCCTGCAACTGAGGTACATGCCCTTTACTGGAATAGAACCTGGGACCATTCAGTCCATGGGCCGATACTCTATCCACTGAGCCAAACCAGCTAGGGTAGGATGCACATGTTTAAAGAAAAAAAAATATGGAATCAGAATTCTAAAGCTGACAAATAGTATGGAAGATTCAGTGGCACATTTGTGGTATTTGAAAGAAATACTCATCAATCAAAATAGTTTTTGGCATAACACCATTATTTCATCATAGATATATGGCAAGGAATTAGATTTCAGTAAAATTCATATTAGTTAAATCTAATATATTTCTGAGGGTACAGTAGACTGTTTGAAAAGATTTAGGAAATGGGTAACTTGTTGAACACGCAGATCATACCTCTTGAATGGAGTACTCATTTCAATGTAATAATATTCTGACATTTTACCTGTATCCAAAAGTTAAACTGTTCCAGTGTTATCATCTCTGTGATTAATTATGCTTAATTATTTAATATAATATTAAAAGAATTTATGGAACATGTATGTTAGGACTCTTTTTCTAAAATATGACATTTTTAAGGCAATCTAATTAGTTACCACTAAAAAAAAGGGCATGATTTTCTCATAGACTATTATTTTCCTTGCATATAAATCCTATGAATCACTAGTCCAGGATGAAAGAACTGTTGGAGCTGAAAATGACAGTAGTAAATTTAGACTTTAGAACTCACAAAATCATTCTTGAGAGGGTACAAAGGAATGGCTTTCGACACTGTAACATTAGGTTGTGATTCCCTGTAGTTCCTATTATGTATTGAACACCTTCTAGTTGATTAACTCTTTAGGTTTTTACTATATATATATATATATATATATATATATATATATATATATATATATATATATTATTGAAAGCAACATTAGAAACACTTTTTAAAAGTCTTAAATTGTGTTTTCACCATTACTAGTTGTGTTTTCTTTTTCTGTTATATATTCACATTCTAGTCATGTTTATATTTACCACAGAGTGTGATTTGTCTCAAAACCTGACTATTATTTTTCTCCTCTTTATGCCCTCTCAAGTAAACATATAAAATTTAGCTAAGTTCTCTTTTCCTAAATAATCATGCCTAAATTTAAAAAAATTAAAATACACTAAGAATAAAATTTCTGTTTCATAAAAGAAGGTTATTGCCATAATATAAGCAAACATTTATCTTAATCCACCCATTACTGTCTAGAACATATCACAAGTCTCTGTTAAAGTAATCATTTCTAAACAATGTTCCTGCCCTAGCCGGTTTGGCTCAGTGGATAGAGTGTCAGCCTGCGGAGTGAAGAGTCCCAGGTTCCTTTCCAGCCAAGGGCACATGTCCAGGTTGTGGGCTCAACCCCCAGTAGGGGGCGTGCAGGAGGCAGCCGATCAATGATTCTCTCTCATCATTGATCTCTCTCTCCCTCTCCCTTCCTCTCTGAAATCAATAAAGTAATATATTAAAAATAAATAAATAAACAATGTTCCTGAATTTGTGGTCAGTGAAAACTGGAAAGAAAGCAAAAAACAAAATATGTAAAGATTAGAATAGGAAAGAAGTTATTATTATACTATGTAGATATTTTAAATTCAGAAAATTAAAAAATCCAATTAAGATATTAAAAGTGAGGGATTACAGTAATTTTTTTTTCCTTTTAATCTTTATTGTTGAAAGTATTACTTAGGTCTTCCTTTTTCCCCCATTAATCTCTTCCAGCCTGGTCCTGTCCCCTCCCCCCCACCTCACCACCCCATTGTCTGTGTTTATGGGTTATGCGTATATGCATACAAGTTCATTGGTTGATCTCTTACCACCCACCCTTCCCTGACTTCCCTCTAAGGTTTAACAGTCTGTTTATGCTTCTATGACTCTGGGTCTATTTTTGATCATCAGTGTATTTGGTTCATTAGATTCCACAAATGAGTGAGATCATGTGATACTTACCTTTCTCTGACTGGCTTATTTCGCTCAGCATAATACTCTCCAGACCCAGTAGTTTTCTTTTAAAAAATCTTCCTCATTTTCCACCATCTCAGTAAATACCACTAACACCCACTTAGTTACTAAAAATACAAATCTTTGCTATTCCTTTTCCTCCGTTCCCTCCCCAGAATATCCATCCCATCAATAAATCTTGATAGTTCTTTCTCAAACATGTATTATAGTAGAAGTTTTTAAAACTTATCTCCACTTAACCAACTTGCCAAATTACTGGCTACCCTTTATTCACACTGTAGATAATTTTGACTATAAATAAGTTGCTTTTAGTGACATCAATGTCAAATTTTTAGAAAAACTCCACAGATACATGTCTCTACAAACGATATTGAAACATATAATGTTACTAACCAATGTCACAACAATAATTTAATAAAAAATAAAGATAAATGATATTGAGTTAGAGAGATGACTACGATTATAAATAATTAAGAAAAGTTTCTAAATTTGTACATGAATTCTGCACTTTCACTACAGGGGTGATCACAATGATTTATATAAAATGATATTTGTTATAATAATGTCTATTTTTATTATTTAAATAATACGATATTTTAGTTATTTAAATAATAAAATATTTCAACTATACAGGAAACTAAAGAGAGTAATATAATCAAAACTTATGTAATCATCACTTCTATGAGATAAATGTTAATATTTTGTCATATTTGCTTTAAATAATAAAAAATAACAAATAAGCTAAAATCCACCCCTCCCATCTGCTTTCCTTTCTCTTTCAGTAAGGTAACCACTGTACTGAATTTAGTATTTATAGTTGTTTTTCTTTCATCAAACATGTATATATCCAGAAACATTATATAACATTGATTTGCAGGCTTAAAATTTGAAAGCAAATGACAAAATACCACAACTTATTCTACAACTTTCTTTTTATATTTCTGAGATTTATCTATGTGAGTCAACTAATTTTAAATGATGTTTGGAGACTCATTTTAATAATATACCACAATTTATCTATTTTCCTATTGATTATTTGTTTCTAATTTGTCCCTATAAAAAAATGCTCCTATGAATATAGTTGCTGACCTTTTCCTTTTTGAAATGTTCTTTTGATGTTTTTGATACTTATAATCCCTTCAAAATTATTAATGGTTTCTTTTCATTCTGTTGTACTGAATTCACCACTACTCAGACTGAATATGATGGGACTCAGTCCTTGGATACCTTTTCTTTTTCTGGGCTCAGTCTTGGGACATTTTTCCCTCTATATATTTTTCTCCCTAGACATTCTCACTAATTTAGATAACTGTATATATTCATAAAGTGATTATTACTATGTGGGCCTCTCTATTCAAAATCTGCCATTTGAGCTCAGACCTGAATAAGCATAGGCTTATTGGGCATGTCTAATTGCATGACTGATAGCCAGCTCAGAATTAGAAGGCTAAAAGGAAACGATGGATTCCTTCTCACCAAATAAGAAAAAAAAAAATTCTTTCACAATCTCCACCATCTCAATAAATACCAACATCCACTTAGTTACTAAAGGAAGAAATCTTCGAGTCATC